CAGTACCTGTTGTGCCTTTCAGATTTTATTTACTCTTTCAGGTTCTTACAGGAGGGACACAGTACGATATTTACACATATGGGTGTGATTTATTTCATCTTAAGTGAAATAAATCACACCCATATGTGTAAACATCGCATTCATTCTCTGGTATTAGAAACTGAAAGTGTAAATAAAACCCAAACTGTATAATGGATTTTTAAATTCCCAATAATCAGTAATCCTTAAATAAACAGTAGTCTTGTTAGTTCTCTCAGAGTTGCATATTTAACTAAGTTCCAGAGCTCAAAATAATGAGGAAGTATACATGTGAATATTTAATTTCTTTAATGTCCTTACTTTATTTGAATGGTACATTTAAAAAATCATACTCACCACATGCAATTGACAAATAAACTTGAGAATCTGGTGTCTGGTGCAGGATACGAAAGGGAGCCACTTTAGCAGTAGAGTCCAAAACTGAGTCAAGAGTTCCCACCAGAAGACCTGTTACAATAGAAAGACTACTGAAATAAAGATTTTATAAAAGGTAAGTAAAAATAGTCTTTCTTACTTCTTTTGTTCCTGGGACAAAATACCCAATACTTGAAACTTAAAAGGAGGAGTGGTTTATTTTGGCTCATGTTTCAGTCCATTGTCCCCTACTTCCAAGGCAGAACAGCATGGCTGAAGGGTATAGTAGAGGCTATGATGCAGCCACACAGAGAGGATGAAGGGAGGAGCCAAGGAAAAAGATAAACCCTCTAGGTCATAGTCTCAGTAATCTACCTTCTAACAGCAAGCCACCTATAAATTCCCATAAAGAAATCACATATGGAATGCCCTACCTACAAGCACATGAAGTTTCTGGGAGACATCTAGTTATGAAGCACAACAAAAATTAAATGATCAGGAAAAACAAAATGTTAGTAGCAATCAGCAAAATGCAGCCTCTCTATGACTCCGAATCTAGACACCTGGAAAATAATTTCGTGAAAAGTAAAAAACAAAGTAAACCTCCAGGGATCACAAGGGAACTATAAGGAAAATTAGAAGCTACAGACAAGTTGGAGAAATGAAACAATGCAGAGAAAAAATGAAGCAGTCTAAAAGCCTACCCTGGCTCCCAGTGAGGGGAACCTGTCTTCACAGACACAGGGTAGGGTGCTCCAGAAAGAAACAATGGGCTGAACGAGCAGTACCAGCCCCCCCAAAATCCAACAGTTATTGTGAAGTGCAAAGGCAACACGCTGTTTTACTATGAAAGTAACTCGTTCTGCAAAGCAGGCAACAGTTAGAGAAGGGCTGCTGTGAGGGCTCACTACAGTGCTAGATAGCATTTAATCAGGCACCATTTCAAGAATGGGTTAATTGTTCAAGAACAACTAAAAAAACAAACGCTCTTCAGGATTTTGAGTTTTAACTTCCCACATTGACTGGGTGAGAAAGACCCAGAGAAGACAGCAGTGGAGAGGGTACAGGCTAGACACAGACCCCTTGAAATTTTAAGTTCAGGTCACAAATCACATGGGTCCCACCCTCAATGGAGTGAAGCCAGGCTCTGTGTGTGTGGTTTCAGAAGTAGCTGGATCTAAAGAGCTGGTACTAAATATAGTGGACTGTACTTTAACCCATGACCTGCTGCCTACATCCAGCACAGATCAGAGAG